TAATTAAATGTATTTATCACGGGGGCGGTATCAAGTCAGACTGGGGGCCGGCTCTTCATCACGGGCCGATCACGGGCCGATCACGGACCAATCACGGACCAATCACGACCCTCGCGTTTCAAACTGTCCAAAATAAGACGCTCCATCTGTAATTGTAATGTAATACATGATTGTCACTAAAAGCCTTGTCTCTACATTACAATAAAATATAAAAAATAATTGATTAATTAATTTGAATAAAAATTCAAGTTAGTAGCTATTATAGGCATAAAAAGACAGAAATGTATAATTCTTTCTTTAATAGAAATGTTTCTTCTGCCCGTAAAGTGTCCAAACCAGGCTTTTCTGGATAAGCGCATTTTTAAAACATAGTCATTGTCCATGCCGGTTTCAGATTATTTGTCACAGTTGCTCCGATCAGATCGGTCTCCTCCATTTTGTAGATTATTTACGACTTTTGAATCCACATACTGTAAACACATCGGCAAAATCCGGTTTACCCTTGTGTGTGCAGTAATTAAAGTTTTAAAGTATCTTTCTGTTTTGTTGGTCATGCCACAACCGTGCATGCATGCGCGAGTCATAGTGAGTGTCTGCATTTTGGGGGGGGGGGGGGGGGGGGGCGCGCCAGCTAAAATCTTGCCTAGGGCAGCAAATTGGTCAGGGCCGGCCCTGCACACAGCTACAGGTTTTGATATGGAAATTCCGCGATGAATAGAACCCCCGAGAAGAAGAAGCCCACCAAGCAATGGGACAATGTGTTTAAAGCCAAGTGGACAGCAGATCACGAGTTTATCAAGGTATCGCGGAGAGGAGAGAAGCACACGAAGGTCTGTTGGCAGGGAAGATAAACATCTCCAAAAAATGCACCTGCTGCAACTGGAAACCAGACCCTGAACTTCTCAAGAAAGCCAAGTCTGCTACATACCAAGCACTAAAACAGGGTTGCCACCTCTCACGCATCTGGCGTGTGACACACGCTTTCACTCTCAATCTCACGCTCTCACGCTGCCCAAACTATTCTCACGCCAAAACAAGATGAACCGGCGATCGTTTTTGGTTGTTTATTTACAATGTTGAGTTGACAGCTGCTCAAGCTGTAGATCCGCTCCCTCCCCGCCCCCACCACTCTTAACAACGTGAACAGACAGCAGAGCAGTGGAAGCCGGTTGGTCAATCCCCGACCCGTATTGCGCATGCGCAGATCCGTCTTAACGCCAGGCTTTTCATCAGTCGACGGCGAACTCTACAGAAGGAAAGGTGGGTTTGCACAGTGCACTTATCGATATCGTTGAATATGTTTGAAAATATGATTAGAGTAAGATAACCTATTCTATAAAGGCCACATATTTGTTTATAACGTTTGTTAACATTTTAGATATGTTTGTTTAGAATGTAAAGTGACAATCTTTTAGATTGTCACTTGACTTTTATGCTAGGTTTGAAGGGCGCTAAAGTTTTAATTCAGTCCCCTAAATAGCTTAAAGGGGACCTATCATGCAAAATGCACTTTTGTACGTCTTTTATACATGAATATGTGTCCCCGGTGTTCCAGGGAACTCACCAAGTGTCAGAAAACACAACCCTCTCTATTTTCCTCCATACCCAAATCTCTAAAAAAAGGGGCTGCAACGGATCTGATAAAAACTGATCCAGATTTGAACACTGTCTACGTTCTTGGCTGTCCCTGCCACATTGTGCACACGCTGGTGGCTTGGTGTACTCCGAGGTAATGACTTGACAGTCACAACTGTATTTTTTTCCATTTTTACTGGGATGGCCACTTAGTGTTAATACTTTTACAATATGTACAAACACATTTATTTTGCTAACCCTCCAGATGTCGGGCTTTGAAGTCGAAGATTTCTGCGTCGATCTTGCCTACTGGTTTAAATCCAGCACCAAGAGGAAGAACATGCTTCATGGCAAGTTATCCTCACATAACACATTTATTCTATTCAAAAGCATTGATTCAGAAATAGTTTGAAGGGCCACTCTAAAATACATATTTTGTTCTATTCAGAATTCTGTGTGTTTTGTGACACCACGTACATGGAGGTACTTCAGCATTTTAGCATTAGGTGGCTCAGTTTGGATCTGGCTGTCAACCGCATACTCCGCGTCGACAAGGCCCTGACAAGCTACTTCAGATCCACTGGTTTGTAGTCCCATATTCATTATTGATGTAAAATGAAAAATGCAAAACTACAATTTTCTATTTATTATTTTTGAACGTTTTTGTCTTTTAGACGAAAAGCAAGCCAGGTGTCTGCGGCTCCGTGCCTTATTTGAGGACCCATTGACAGAGGTTCATCTCCTCTTCTACCAGGCACTTCTGCCTACATTCTGCCAGTTTAATCTGTTGTTCCAGAGGCAGCACCCATGCATCTATCTTCTCCATGGGCAGGTACATCATTTTACCGTTTAAGTTAGTGTAATGGTAATGTCAAATTGTATAATTGATTCTTATCTTAATGTTCATGGATGGGTGGGTTGTATATTTTCTGTATTTCAGGTGAGGGCATTCATCCAAAAGCTAATGTCCAAATTCTTGAAGCCTGCAGCTTTCAGACAACAAGCTTGGAGAGTGTTGATCTTCAGGATCAAGAAAACCAACTGCCAGGTGAATACAATTGACTGTTAAGCCTATATTATTTGACCCTTTTATGAAAACTGAAATAATCTACAGGTATATAGTATGGGCAAAATAATGCATGGTAGTCTTTTTTTCCTTTCAGACACCCAGCTTGGCATTGGACTGACTACAAAGTCCACGCTGATAAGGCTGCATGAAGCTGGTGAGATTCCCTCAGGTGATTTTCATTTCATTTCAAACCTTTATTTATCCAGGTTGTATCCCATTGAGATCATTGATCTCTTTTTCAAGGGAGACCTGCTCAAGTAGGTTCCACATGAAACATTAAAAACATAAGCAGAACAACAAAAGGACATCATACAGTAGCATTACAGGGATTACAATTTACATACTATCCACATGCACAGGTACCAACAGCTTCCGATTCAGTAGCATCCAACCGAGCTTTAAAAACATTTAGTGGCACCAGATTGCTCAGTTTCCATTTTAATTGCAGACTATTCCAGGACAGTGGAGCTGTGCATCTAAATGCTATTTTCCCTAAGACAGTCCTAGCAGTTGGCACATTTAATAAAACCACAGCATGCGATCTCAGGCAGTAGCCATTTACAATTCGCCGTGAGATCAGGGAGCAGATGTAGGATGGAAGTTTCCCTAACATGGCTTTATATATAAAAATGTACCAGTGACTGAGCCTCCGTACAGTTAGTGAAGGCAGACCAGACCTTGCATACAGGGTACAGTGATGGGTTAATGCTTTACAGTTTGTCACAAATCTCAGTGCACTGTGATACGCAGCATCTAACTTGACCAGGCAATTGGCAGGTGCATTCATATAAATCAGATCACCATAGTCCAGCACAGGTAAAAAGGTCACAGTGACTAGCCTTTTTCTGGCCTCGAGCGAGAAACAGGACTTGTTCCTGTAGAAGAAACCTAGTCTAACCCTCAGTTTTTTAAGCAGGTTAAATGTCACCAAATTCAACAAGGCAGCAAGAGGCTTCCTGCTTCGGTCTACAGAATATGCACTGAAGAAGCTACCTCTCAATGACCCCCTGCTGCCACATGCTGAGTTTGTGGACTTCAGGCAGAGACAAAACTCCCATGTGGATGATGTGCTCTACTTTGCCCAAAGGTAAATTACTGAACCCTTATTTTCACTTCACCATTACTGCATTTAAACAACGTGAGAAGTTAATTAAAGATAAATGGTGATTTTGACAGGCTTTACAAGCAGTGGAGATGGGTGAAAAAATACAGCTTGCTTAGATATTACATTGGGAGATTCTGTTATTGTAAAGGATTATTTATTTCTATCTGGATAAAGAATTGGATATTGTTTTATGTATATTTATTTACAGAATTCAATAATCTAATGGCAAAATAAATGTCTGAATATTTTTTTTCTATTCTAAATAATGTTGTTGAAATTGTCTTTGCCCAGATACAAACACCTTCTTCCTTTTGAGGACCCAAGGGAACAGGACAGGATTTCGGATGAGTTCCTGGAGTACCAAATGCTGGAGGAAACAGATATCCCTGACATGGTCTGGAAAGGTGCCCTGGTGAGTGTTGGAGAGGAAGAACAATTCCATCGTATGGACATGGTGTGGGCACACTTGACTACGCAGAAGAGCCGAGTAACTGGTAAAGAACAGTTCCCCAGACTTGGGAAGGTGGCCCAGCTTGTCCTATGCCTACCTCACTCTAATGCGGATGCAGAACGAGTCTTCTCAGTAATTGGACTGAACAAAACACAGTGTCGAAACAGACTTGCACTTGATGGGACGCTGTCATCCATTATGTGCATCAAAGGAAGTCAGATTGAACCATGCTGCTTCAAATACGAACCACCAGTAGAAATGATAAACAAGTCAAAGTCTGCTGCTTATTGTTCTACTAGGCCAAAATAGAGTCACAATAAAACAGTGGAAACAAACATGTGTTTGACTTTCATTAGTGAATGAAACTTTGTGTCCAATATTGTGTATTTGTATATATTATAAATATATATATATATATATATATATATATATATATATATATGCTACGGTCCCGCTACGGACACGATAGCAGTCATTTAGTGTGCATACGTGTAATTAAACCCATGATATCAAAATCTCACTCCAGCCAGGTACCCAAAGTTGGCAACCCTGACTAAAGTGACTGAACATTGTATGACCAATTTTTGTGAAAAATGCAAAAAGTGATGCAATGTATTAAATACATGGTTTATACCTGTAATTACTGTGATTCCATTTCCTCTGATTACCTAAGTACCTAATTTGGGCGTGCACGCAAACCTACCTCTTTTGGATTTGGAAAGGTTGGCATGTATGCTGTAACGTTATGCGTATGCAGACAGGCACGATAACTTAGCTGTTAACACGATAGCGCCACTAACCTGTAGCTGTGGGTTCACATGCTTTCAGAATGCCGCAGACACGAAGACAAAAACAACAACTCACTCGTACTAGTGTAGCGATTCAAGATGTGTGCATTTTGGCTCCAGATCCACCAGTAGCCGGATCGAGAACTTGAGACTTCCTGTCATATTTCCAGAATAAAAGCCTCACGTTAAGAAAATGTTTTGTTTGTTTTTAATCGCCATTTGTGGGATGGGATCATATACGTTTTGTGTGTGTGTGTGTGTGTGTGTGTGTGTGTGTGTGTGTGTGTGTGTGTGTGTGTGTGTGTGTGTGTGTGTGTGTGTGTGTGTGTGTGTGTGTGTGTGTGTGTGTGTGTGTGTGTGTGTGTGTCGGTGTGTGTGTGTCGTGTGATTGCATATTCTGTGAATGTTACGTTTATGTTACGTTTTTAGGTGAACGAGCTTTTATTCTGAAAGCGGAAGTGTGGTTGGATGCGGACTCCTAGCAAAGCAGACATTTATCTCTTGTCTGTCAGGCGATTGAAATACTTCCAGACTCAGCGAACAGGTACATTTTTTTATCTTTAAAGCTTATCTCTTAAACATTTTCCGTCGAGCTGGGTTGCAAGCTTTCAGTACACTTACAACAAGTTCGATTAAAGCTATCAAAGCTCAGACTCGATCTGTCGAAACCTGTCAAAACACAGCAGCGCAATAGATTGCGGAAGCTAACGTTAGCTTGTGTACAATATGTTTATTAGCTAACGTTGGGAGTTCCCGGATAAATACAGCTCGTTTTCATTTGAGCAGGAAGCTCACAGCGGTGTGTTTACATGTATCTACAGCTAGCTGCTCAGTGCTAGGTTCACATCTCCAACCTCAGGCTTCCTATTTAAGCCATTAGTTTAGGCGTGACACATCTGTGTGTATCCATAACGGTGTCTTTGAAAACCCAAACAATTATTAATTTGAACAAATTGGAAAAAAACACTCATAAGTATTTTGTTCAGGTCCTTTTATTTCTTTTTAAATTGAAACCACAACCGTGTAGCCTAAAGCTGGAATATTAGTAATAATAAGAGTGAGTTCTGAGGTGAGAGTGTTAGTGCTGCAGCAGGCTACGTGCAGTTGTCGGTGAGTGGGATGAGCCGTTTCCATAGTTCCTTGAGCTGAGGAGGCTGTGATGTCACACCCTCTCTGTTGTTCCTACCTCACTGTTAGCGATGAGTCACCAGCTGATTATTGCTCGGTTATTTATAACATCCTCTGGGTTTCAAAGTAAATATGTCACACTGATGTGAACAGGGTGAAGGGGATATGGTAAATATGGTCGCGGGTCTAGACATTATTAGGTGGGGTGGACAACATCAGGCACAGACTCAGAGCAGGGCTGCACATTTATATCACTTGAAAATGTAAACTGTAAAAGGACAGCCATACTCTCTAGAAAATACATTATTAACAGCACAAATGCAAAAGAAGCAACTTCACATGTTCAGTTAAAGATCCAGACAGGGACGTTGCTTGGGCCTAGGCCTGTCGCAATAAGCAATTAATTGACTTATCGTACGATAAAAAAATATGTACTCGATAACTTTTCTGACCTCGATAAACTGCCGTTTACATGCGTGTTTGTTTACATAAGGAAGTGACCAGCATTTTAGCCAGGTGTGCTGTGGCTGCCGGCCAGTCGCGCTGTGAGGGGCGGCGCTTACACACAGCCAGGTCAGGACACTCCGCGTGCAGCAGTGTAGCAGCCAAATGAATAATATAGAGACAAGCAGGAGACAACGTGTGACTTACTCGAGGGGAATTTGAAGTGAAATGGAATTGGTTGCAAAACCTAACTCCATCTCCGGTGTGGGAATATTTTGGATTTAAGCCAAATCAACGAGGCGAACCTACGGACTTGAATGAGCAGTTATGTAGCATTTGTTTTAAAAAGGTAGCAACAAAAGCTAGCAATACGACCAACCTTAAAGGGGACCTATCATACAAAATGCACTTTTGTACGTCTTTTATACATGAATATGTGTCCCCGGTGTTCCAGGGAACTCACCAAGTGTCAGAAAACACAACCCTCTCTATTTTCCTCCATACCCAAATCTCTAAAAAAAAGGGCTGCAACGGATCTGATAAAAACTGATCCAGATTTGAACACTGTCCTGACATCAGGACGGTGGCGCTACGGCTATTGGGCCAACTCCACCAATCAGGAGGAGACAGCCACGGCCATTGCCGTTCGAAAGCGCTGGAGACGCTGTAGTACATATGCCAGGCCTGTAGATGGTGCTGTTCTCACTGAATCTGCCCTTGCAAAAACAGAGCTAGAAAATGTCAAATTGAGCAAAATGAGGCATGGATAAAATGCATGATCTGTTTGGTATTTTGAAAAAAAAAAAGTATAAATATGCCTTATATAGGTATGGTCCTACACTATATTATTCAAATATAGCATGATAGGTCCACTTTAAACTGCACCTGAAACACAACCACCCCATTCCGTTTTCCCAGCTGGGAGCAAACACGGCAGCTGGAGATGGAGAGCCCCCACCTTCCCGACAGTTTGCAATCAAAGATGCATTTGCCCGACAATGCAAACATGTTGGTGTTCCTTGCTCGAAATCTTTGATTGATACAGATTTGGATATGGTTGAGTTTTTTTTTGCTTGTGTGCTCATATTTATTCATTTATGTAGTTGTATATATATATATATATATATATATATATAGCCGAAGGACTGTTTAAATGCCCAGCATTCGGCGCCACTCGATGACGTAGTATACTTGAAATAGTGGCTCTGCAGCAGCTTTATTGATAAACGGCCCATGTTTACTTCCTGTCTGTCTTCTTCTGGTGACTTATGCTTCAGTTCAACGCTCTCTTGTGTTTCAACCTCTTTCCTTTCTCCGTCCTCTGCAACGTTCATTATTTTGCTTAGCAGCTGTGTGTTGTTGAGTTTTAAAAACCTCTGAAATGTCCTTGACCAATCAGAACGAGTATTCGACTAAGCGGTGTAATGTGTTCTATACGACTTGTTGACAGCAAGGGCTAGAGATTGAACCTTCAACCTTCTGATGAGTGGACAACCACAAGTCTCCTGAGCCTGCAACTAATTCAGAGAAAATGGTTTTAAAATCTAACGTGGTCTGACTGAAGGAGCATATAACTCTGTACCCTTGCAAAGTGCACTACGGAACCACAAAGATTAAATATGTTTCTGGAGTTTTTTGTATAGTAAGAATCGTTTTATATAAAGTGTGTGGCAGTGGGGTTGAGTGTGCGTTAAGCTAATTGAGTCAGTCAGCCCAATCATACAAAAACAATACGCAACACTAAAACTAAAACTAAATAAAAACTCCCAGCAGCACTGCACTATCATAATAACAACTTCAATTTATATAGCGCCTTTCATAAACCCAATGAGGTGTAAGAGTGCGAGGTTTCTAAGGCATTGAGAAAGTCAGTATGTGATACTTTATTAATCCCATACAGGCAGCTGATTAGTTTTGAGCTTGTTATTTTTATAGCTTTACTGTGTATACCTTTGTTCTTCTTACTTTTTGATTTGGGAGCTATTTAATTCTGCCTACAGTTTTTTCTAATACAACCAGATATATTTCCTTCTAATTTAGAATGTTCTATCATAATCTACAGAACGACAAATAATGTCACAGCAGATTGTGTCAAAAAGATCAATAATATTTACCACATTTAAATAGATAAGAGCCAACTGTGGTTTTATATACTCGGTTTGTGTCTCCTCGACCTGGCATTCAGTTAACACACATGCTTTTTCAGGTGGTCAAGACACACCTTTGACTCATCTTAGCTACTTGAAAGATACAAGTGTTACAATCCAACATGCTGAAGGAGTGAGGTCCAGCAATACCTACCCTCAAACCAAGCTGAGCAAGTAGCACAGGTGGGACAGGATCTCTCAGTGCAGTTTACCACCCTGTCTTTCCCCACAGTTAATTGCTGACGGCCTGTTTCACATCTGTTTCAGACGGCAGCACAGCAGCAGCAGACAGGATGGAAGTCCCTGTGTCCTTTGTGCTGGTGCTAGCATTCATCTGTCTTAGCCACAGCCTGGAACTACAAAATGCACTGGACAGGTTGAAAAGGTCAGAGAAAAACGCTTTTTATGCTTTGGTTATATGCTTATAATTTTTTGGGCGATGTAAAACAACATTTAAAAATTTGGTTTGGAAATACACATTTTATTACATGAAGCATTTTACTAATTTATCTTGTTTAAGACAACATTTAACCCACCAGCCTAAAGGTGCCTAGTAGAGTTTTCTAACTAACCAAGATACGTTCATATTCAGTGTGATCATCTTGGTTTCCTGAAAGTGACAAAAACATGTTGAAATCATTTCCTTCCTCATCGAACATTGCTAGGCACAGGGCTCGAGCTTAAGGACCTCCCGTCGTCCCGGGGCCGAAAAAAATCGGGTCGGGGAGGATACAAATTAATTTTGGGACGAATTTGGGACGAGAGTTAAAATAAAAATACCCTGCTAACTCTACTACGAACGGCGATGAAAATGAAACTGACTGCACGTTTTGTGTAGCACACAGTTATTAAACCTCCTTGTCAACATAAACACACACAAAGCATTTAGCAACCCGCGAAATACACACACACACAGTACGTAGCTACAGCTGTCAGCCAGCCGCACAGCTGTGATGTAACTACAATTTTTTTACCCCGGAGCGGTGCGGAGAAAACGAAACTTAATTTAGGAAGCAGCTTTTGACGGCGCGCTATGCATGGGGCACCCGAGAGGGGGTTTCCAGACATGTCATTGCAGCTGAGATGAGAACTCTCCATCGCATTTAGTCCTTAGCAATATGCTGCGCCTCTCCCCATGTAGGGATGGGTACCGAGCCCCGGTATTAAATGGGCCCCGGGCCGGAAATATTAAAGACAGTGGTACCAACAGTGGTCTTTTTATCGGTACTGGAGACATTTAAAACATATATGTCATATGTATTATTGCTACATGAACATTATATTGCAGTTTTAGTTTCGCCAACTCCTTTTCTAATATGCAATAAGACTACAAAATGCGTCTATGATGTATTTTCCAATCCAGACGAGAGAGCTCTCTCCCCCGTCTGTGTGCGAGGGGGCGGGGCAGTTTGTAAAGGTCTCCTGACTGTGTTACAGACTGTCATCCTGGTTAGTGGTTACTCTGGGTTCTGTCTTCTGTCTTCAGGACAGAGTGTTGGATTTTTTTGTTAATCGGATGGGACTTGATTGGATTCAATATTAGAGTAACTGTCTTGCTTGTGTGTTTTTTTTAAATATATTTGGCCTTTGTTTCTGTGTTTGACTGATTTACTCAAATAAAAAGGTTGATGAATTATCATCTAATGATTTGTATGATGTTTTATTTATGTTACAGGTCACTTTGAATGATTTTAACTAATGAAAATGTAGAAAAACAAATATTTTAAATTCGGGACGGTCCACATTAATTTCGGGACGGCTTAGATTGTATTTCGGGACGGTTCCGGGAGGATGGTGAAAAAAGTTAGTCGAGAGCCCTGGCTAGGCAGTTGGATATTGTTGTGTCACAGCATCTTAAAGGAAAATCCAAATCCACAAATATACTGTTTGTACTACAAGCACTTGCACTTTTTATCAAAATCTTATTATGTGGATTTGTTTAATTCAAATACAAACTGTTTAATCTGAAAATCTGAATCTTAATTAATGTTCTTATTCGGGGGACATTGGTGAAAGTGTGTCATGGATTGGGTGTATTCAAGATGAGTTGTAGCTGAAACCGCATCATGCTCTATCTCTGACACGGCATGAATATTAATTGTGTAACAGTTTCCAAAAAAACATTGTATCTGCTTTGTCTCTGCCGAGAATTGTTACCAAATGGAATTAATAAGCAATCATAATCGTCAAGTGGAGGATTTACCTAACCTTACTTTAAAGGCATGAATCCTACAAAAAATGTTGTTGCATGAAAACATCTACTTTCTTGACTGGGTGTATTTTTGTATAGTGTGTTGTTAAAGTGAAGCTTAACTCATTGAGTGTCCTGTAATGTTTCCTCGTAAGGTCTCAGGAACATGTGGTGTCAGACCCCAGTGACTGTGTGTCCAGGACCAGGCAGCCAGTCTCAGCAAACCCTCACAATTTTTCTGTGGACATTCGGATGCCTGCTGTTGTCCCAGCTGCAGTGAGTCACTTTCTTTGAAGCATAGTGAAGGGTCTGTATCGTTCACTTTAATAGTGTACTCATCATTCAAGATGAAACCATCAATGAATTCATCTAAAGTTAATCAATAGAAAGTTAATCTGCGGTTATCTTAATCATGTTCTAAGTAAGGCATAATGTGCACATTATTATAACTATTATTATAATTGTATTATTTTTAGAGGGCTACTTACTAAATAAATCAATGATTTGACAATATAGATTTAGAAAAGGATTTGTTTTGCTTTCGTAAAGACAAATTGTTGGTTCTACTGCGTACCAATGGCTGAAATGTTGAAGGACATCTAATTTCTCTAAATGCACATCGGGGATCGAGCAAAAAATCCTTAATAGCTTTTTTTTCCTTTGCAAACCTCTTTCATTTTTAAATAGGATGTTTCTAAGCTGTTTGGTTTTTGAAACAGTGCCTGTAAATAAAACTTTATAAACAAATTGACATGTCAACCATTTTCTACACTAGACATGTATGATAAGTAAATACAAAGAGGTAAAAACATGAGGTAACCATCAAGTTGTTAACATCTGTATGTCGGTATTAAATGTCTATCTTGTTGTGCAGTTTATCAGTGAATGTTTGAACTAATGGTAAACACTGTGTTTCCTGACGGACACACAGCATTGGTCGATCAGGTAGAGCAGCAGGTGAAGTATGGACCGATGCAGACTCGCTGCTGGAGGGCTTGATAACCCACTACCCCTCCACACTCGTTGGTTTGGAACAGCACTTAATGCGGTGGACCCTCAAACGGAAGGGTAGTATGTAGGGGTAGGGTATAGGAATTTGGGCCTGAAGGTTTGGAATTGGGCCTGAGAAATGAGAAAGGGCTCATGTTTCCATTAGTGTTTACTTCCTGTCTGTCTTCTTCTGCTGTTCCTGTTAGTGACCCAATTCCAGACCGCCCCACCCCCTACACACCACCCCTCCATTTGCTTATTCGCATGGAGGGCACACCACATTTAGGCCCAATCCCAAACCACGCCCTACACCCTACCCCTACACACTACCCCTCCGTGACGGAGTGAACTCCATGGAGTGGAGACGTGTGTTGCAGTGGGTTGTGCGTTGGTGTTCGGATCAGGGGGTCACAGGTTCAAATCCCACTGCAGTCAGCATGTCGTTGTGTCCCTGGGCAAGACACTTCACCCCAAATTGCTCCTGTGGGGATTGCTCACAGTATTGAGTATGTAAGTCGCTTTGGATAAAAGCGTCTAACAAGTGACATGTAATCAGGGTGTCCGCGGGGTCTTAAAAACTATTAAAAGTTGATAAAATCAATTTAGCGAAAATGAAGGCTATTAAAAAGTATTAAAAAGTATTAAACGGCATTTTCCAAGGTATTACATTTTGTAGCTTGTTTTCAATAAGTATATAAATTGTCCAAAGAGGTTGTATTCTAAAGTGTGCCTGAATGTAATCATTGCGTAGGTGTGTAGTGTGATTCTGTGTAGTTTATTTATGGCATCCCGTTGGATTTGACGTCATCTGAACAGGACATCGCACGCTCACTGCTTGATAGTGTGAGAAGGTCCGTTTACGCCGGTTGTTTTTTTGTGGGGAAATGCAAGTTTGCTTCCAAATGGTTGGAAGATAAGGAGGAAGGACAATCAATACTGTACATAGTAAATGTGAGGTAAAGTGTGTCACTGACGGACACACACATCGTTGAGACCGGTCAGGTAGAGACCGGTCTCAAGTCAGCACCAATGCAGACTCGCTGTTTGAGGGCTTGATAGCCCACTCCCCCTCCACACCGCTCCACACTCGTTGGTTTGGAACAGCACTTAATGTGGCGGACCCTCTGCGCGAACGCGCAAACGGAGGGGTAGGGAGTAGGGCGTAGGGCGTAGGGCGTAGGGTGTAGGGCGTGGTTTGGGATTGGGCCTAAGTGCTGTTCCAAACCAACGAGTATGGAGGGAAAGCGAGGGGTAGTGGGTTATCAAGCCCTTCAGCAGCGAGTCTGCATCCATCACGCTTTTTACAAACAGTTCCTGCTAACATTAGCTGATAAACTGCACAACAAGACAGACCTTTAATATCGTTATACAGATGTTAACAACTTCATGGTTACCTCGTATCTTTTAAACTTAGGATCATATACTGTACCAGTGTCTAGTCTAGAAAACTGTAAACATTTTCATTTGATTATAAAGTTGTGTATATTTACAGGGACTGTAAACCAAGCAGTTTGATAGACATCAGATAAAAAAACAAAAAGAGGTTTATAAAAAAAAACGCCACTGAAAAGTTTTATTTTAGTTATTATTTTTTGTGCAAGGGATGCTGATTTCAAACCGTTGTTACGGCATTTCCTGTTTCTGCCAGAGGAGGGGGGGAGTTGGTTCCAAAGCTTGCTACTGTTTTTACACCCTCCACCTGACTACAGACAGAGGCCGTTTCTCAATATCGAGTAAACCTGCTGCAGAGCCACTATTTCAAGTATACTACGTCATCGAGTGGCGCCAAAGGACTGTTTAAATGCATGTTAAATGCCCAGCATTCGGCGCCACTCGATGACGTAGTATACTTGAAATAGTGGCTCTGCAGCAGGTATACTCGACATTGAGAAACGGCCAGAGTTCACTCCATCACGGAGGGGGTAGAGTGTGGTTTGGAATTGGGCCACTGTTTACTTCCTGTCTGTCTTCTTCTGTTTCCCCCGTTGGTGTTTACTTATCGGAGCAAAGACAGTTTACAGATCAAGATCTGGTGCATCTCGTTTCATACTGTTCTTTTAAAAATAATGATTTATAATTGTGAGCATTCTGGCTCACACTAGAGTTAAAAACTGACGAAGGAGAAGGTGGTTTGGGGAAAAATAAAACTGTTTATTTCCACGGAGGGGAAGTTCACAAAAACCACAATTATAGTTAGCTCCGCTGATAATCGTTGAGCGCCAGCTTTTATAGGCTACTATATAAATGACCTAATTTCTCCTTAAACTATTAATGCGTGTTCTTACAACACTTTAATCATATACTGGATTATCAAATTATGTATTTCAAATACATGAATAAATGAAATGAAAAGGTTTGGTGGCGCTCAGTAGACAGTCCAGGTGTGTGTGGCCTGCTGCTGGCTCTGTTCATCCTATTTCAAAATGTAACGCTTCAAATGGTGCTTTACAGCTAATTATTTTACCTGACAACATGACCAGAGAGAATACAATTGGCCGGACATCTACCGATTATTCTGGTCGAAGTCTGGTAAATACCAGCTGAAGGAAACACTGCTGTACACATAACGATAGTTACGGCTGTAACTACGGTTCTATGAGTCCCGGATGACCGCCAGAGGCGGTGCTTTAGCACTGGATATGTCCATCGCACGCATGCGCAGTTCGAGTACCTAATAACAACAAAGTCACCTGTGACCCACGTGACGACGGCTACATAGGCCGGCGTCATTAGTGGATCGGCTCCCAGAATCTTCTTGCGAGCACACAAGAATTCTGAGTGACAGGAAACTCTGGCGGTCATCCGGGACTCATAGAACTAGTTACAGCCGTAACTATCGTTCTATTTCGTCCCTACTGACCGCCAGAGGCGGTGCTTTAGCACTGGATGACCTATACCAACCAAGTCATGAAGAATCCAAGCCCTTGCTCACTACTGGAAGCAGCGGAGCTCGGCAAAAGGACCACGCCCAAAGAATGGGGAGTGGCGACATTAACCTGATAACAACTGGAGAATGTGCCAGAAGACGCCCACGACGCCGCGGCGCAGATGGTCTCCAGGGGCACCACTCTCAGGGCAGCCCAAGATGTTGAGATGCTCCTTGTAGAGTGGCATCTCAGCCCTGATGGCAGGGGGCGGGCACTGGCCCCGTAGGCATGTGAGATGGTATCGACAACCCAGTGGGGCAGCCACTGGTTAGAGGGCACAACCTCCTTTAGTGCCGCCATGGCAAAATCAAGAGTTGATCCTACTGCCGTATACAGGCAGTAGCCTCGATATACGCACTTTGGGCACCCACAGGGCACAGCAACTTCGACGTGCCGTTCTCCTGAATGTCAAAGAGTGCCAGCTGGGCAGGCTGATTGAAGTGGGTTTGTGGAAGCACCCTGGGCAGGAATGCCACATTTGCCCAAAGGGCAACACCTGAGAGTCCCACCTCGGGCATGTATTGTTTATGGAGAGGACATGCAACTCCCCAACTCGCTTCCCTGAGGCTATGGCAAGCAGAAATGCTGCCTTCGTGGGCAGCCACCTAAGCCCCACCTTTGCCAGGGGCTCGAAGGGAGGAGATGATGGGGCATCCGGCAGCAGGGGCAGGTCCCAAGCCGGAGCCCTCGGGGTGCTAGGGAGATGCTGCCGTAAAGCCCCTCTCAGGAAGAGGGACACCGACCTGTGGCACCCCGCCGTGGCGCCGTCGACCTGAACATGTCGGGCAGAAATAGCAGCCACATAAATTCAGAGTGGAGTGAGAACGTCCACTATCTAGAAGGGACTGCTGTCTGGGCAACAGCGTACATGCTGTCCCAAGGAACACGCACATTCTTGCCCCCCCAGTTGGGGACATGGCGTGCACCCTCCTGGGCAGACCACTGACCCTGAACGGTCCTGCCCTGCCGCACTGCACCCCACCCTGAGAGACATGCACCTATGGTGACGGTCTCCTGGCGGGATGGGATGGCGCCCATGGGCACGCCCATCAGGAGATAGGCCCTGCCCCTCCAGCGTGCCGGAGAGTGGAGGCAACGCTGCGACACCCTGACTTTCCTGTGCCTGTGCCACTTGGCGTCCAAGTGAAGGCTGTTCAGCCACATCTGCATGGGGCGCAACGACAGCGGGCCTAAGGGCCCAACGGCCGAGGCAGCCGTCAGTCTGCCCAAGGGCCGGAGGAACTGAATATAAGGAACCATCTTGCCCGGCCCACGTGGAAGTAGGCATCCCTCAAGTCCACGGTTAAGAACCACTCCCCCTGTGCATGTGCTGTTGTCAGCATATAGAATGGCAGCACCTTCAGGAATCTGTTGACTCCTCTGAGGTCCAAGATCAGGCGAAATCCGCCGACTTTCTTGCTCACGAGAAAGTACGCCGAGTAGAACCCCCTGGGCTAAGCAGAGGGTCTACTGGCTCGATTGCGTCCTTTGACAGAAGGACGGACAACTCTTGGGCCAGAGCTAGGGCCTCTGCCGGATCGCTGACGACTGCCATTTTGACCCGGCCGAAGGCTAGGGGCCGGAACTGCGGTTCGTACCCCTGGGTTAAGGTGAAAACCACCCAAGGGCCGGAAGTACAGACAGCCCAGTAACTGAGTTGCTGCTGGGAAAGCAGCCGACGACCGGCCCCAAGAGTCTCGGGACCTACCCCCCCGGCCTCCGGAGCCCCCTGGGGGGCGCCGGTAAGGCTCTGAGGCACGAGGCCGCCTCGAAGGCCAGCGGCATGAAAGCCCCCGGGAGGTGGATGAGTGGGCCGCTGGGACCTGCGCAGACCACCACTGTAAGCTGGTGGCTGAGAGCGGCTGCTAGAGGGGCCCCTGGGCCTGCTGGGAGTGGGCACAGGCCTATAAAGACCCGAGAGCTGCAGCCTGGTCTGCCTAGCTTGGGCAGCACGCTCCAGTGCCTACAGGGTAGCTGCCCCAAACAGCTCCCCTGGCTTGACTGGCACACTACGGAGGACATGTCTCCGACAGTGGTGACTGGGCAGGCCAAACCTGGCGACGAGTCTGCACCAATAAGGACATAACTCGTCCCAATTACCTAGACATTAGGGCAAAGGCTTACAGTGATGCATCACTGAGGCCCAGCAAAGAAGGCTCAGCCAGAGCCTGCTGCAGAGAGGTAGAGACAGCCAGTATCAGATGGGAGAGGGAGTTCCCGTGCCGCTGTGTCGTAGGCCCTACAGAGCAGCTCGTTTGTGACGCTGCACTGAGGCCGAGGTCACCTGGCATCAGGAGCCAGAATCGGGGAGGCGATGGCAGGCTCAATGGATGGCAAGCGACCCAGCCCCACCCTCGCCGGATCCTGCATGGCAGCAGAGTGGGAGAGGGCCCTGGTGTCTCTCATGCATGGAGCTCCCTCAGGTACTCCTCTGAAGGAGGAACAGTGGGAGCGAAAAGGGGCAGGGTTATGCCTGAAGAAGGCGCTAGCCTGAGCCGAGTCGGCCTGCGGAACCTGAAGCTGCAAGCGTACCAGGGCCGCACGAATAATGGCCGCCATGTAGGCGTCCTCCGTGCCCTGCAGAGAGCTCTGAGCAGAGGAGTGGGAAGCCTCCTCGGGGGTGAAGAGGTTTAGCCGGAGCCGCTAGCGACATGGCATCCTCAAGCAGAGGTGTGGCAACCGAAGGAGGGCCAGGCGGCAAGCTAGTAGCCCCCCACACTGGCCAAAGCAGAGGGGGGCAGCGGTCATGGCCGTCCTCGGGCTCAAGAGAAGCCATACAGGCGCTACATGAATGAGCCAGTCTGTAGGTAGCCAGATGCAGCGTAGCCGGGAGCGGGTGCGAGAAAAACCGCCTTCCCCAGCTACCTGCTGAACGGAAAGAGTAGAGCAACGCTCCTACTCGCCGAACACAAAGAGGGATGTAACTACACCCACGTTACCGGCAGAGGGAGCGGGAGCAAGAGCACTGCCTTCACCTAGCTGGATTAAATAAAGAAGTTTAACAGGACAGTTTAGCCGGGCGGCTGCTGCTAGAATCAAGCAACACGTCTACCAGGAGCGGGGGCGAGAACACTGCCTTCACTGGTTAAGTTCATAACGAATGCCAGGTGCAGCGTACCCGGGAGTGGGAGCGGGTGCGAGAACACAGCCTTCACCGGCTACCTGCTGAACGGAAAGAGTAGAGCAATGCTCCTACTTGCCGAACATAGAGAGGGATGTGAATGACCTACACCCACGTTACTAGCAGAGGGAGCGGGAGCGAGAGCACTGCCTTCACCTAGCTGGATTAAATAAGAAGCTTAACGGGGCAGCTTAGCCAGGCGGCTGCTGCTAAGAATCAAGCAGCACGTCTACCAGGAGCGGGGGCGAAAAACACTGCCTTCACTGGATGAGTTAAACAATGAAGCTCAACAGAACACGCCAAATGTTAGCCAAGCGGCCGCTGCTAACAATCAGAGCAATACGTTACAGGGAGCGGGAGCGAGAGCACTGCCTTCACCAGCTGAGTTTAAATAAAGAAGCTTTCACAAAACATGCAAGATGTTAGCCAAGCGGCTGCTGCTAACAATCAAAACAATACGTGAGCGGGAGCGAGAGCGAGAGCACTGCCCTCACCGGCTGAGTTAAATAATTAAGCTTAACAGTATATGCAAGGTGTTAGCCAAGCGGCTGCTGCTAACAATCAAGCCACCAAGTCAAAACACAAATGTTAAGACCAGATAATTAGCTTCTATGGAATAGAACAGCCCCCATAGAACCGTAGGCCATGGTCACAGTAGTAACCATGGCCAGTGCTTACATGGCCTAGGACCGTAGTTACAGTAGTAACTATGGCCAGTACTTACCTTACTCTCTGCATCTAAACAAAAAACGGGCAAAATATGGCACCCTGGGCTTTCCATACTAAATTGAATGAGAGACGCAGCTAAAGCTGGAAACTCAAATGCTAATGATAGCTCGGGCACAACGCCACAAGCAGAACTTTCAAAAGAGCATAATAAGGGCAACTTTATGGGAGAGGAAGCGGGAATGTCGTCACCAGAAAGTCTAAGCCAAACAATAAATAAGACAGCAATCAGGACGACTTAGCTGGGAGAGGGTGCGGGGACACAACCATCACCAGCAACAAGATGACACAAACCTGTCCGTCGAGGCTCTGCACAGCGCACAGCCGGCCACAGCTCCTGGAGGACGCGTTAACAACCCGTAGCTCCGACTGTCAGTCGCGAAGCTGCACGCGGCCAGCTGTATGCAGAGAAATCCCTCAGATCAAACGTTCAAACCTGAACGCTGTAGGCTACAAGAATGTAGCCGCGGTACTCTCGCGAAGCGAGAAGATGAAAAGGACCCGATCCACTAATGACGCCGGCCTATGTAGCCGTCGTCACGTGGGTCACAGGTGACTTTGTTGTTATTAGGTACTCGAACTGCGCATGCGTGCGATAGACATATCCAGTGCTAAAGCACCGCCTCTGGCGGTCAGTAGGGACGAAATAGAACTCTGTTTTGCTTTGTGCTTTGTACTTTCAAAAGAATGCGTCATGAAGTTCTGCTGCTGAACATTTCACAAATGATGACTGTAACAAATAGAACCATTGTGTTCTCTAATGTTTCAGTCGGACACTTACCTGTGCACAGCATTTTCGGTGCCAACTAGTCAAGATGCCTATATTGGTGAGTATATTTTCTTTAAAATCTTATTTCATAGTTTTTTGTCATTTTTATTTTATCTTTGATTTTATCTTTAATTTTATTAATCTGTGTGAATCTGTGCTGTCCTGTTTTTCATTCTTACCCTGTTGCTGTTTAAACTACTGAATTTCCCCACGGGGATTAATAAAGGTCCATCTTATCTTATCTTATCTTATCTATTGAAGTTTACAGAAAACATACAGTATGTAGCCCATCTTTAAATGCAACAGTCAGACATTGGTTAGCTCAGTGGTTAGAGCAGGCTGTTCATATGTGACATGCTCCATCATATCATTCACATCCAACCATTTGGAAAGAGGATAGTCTTAGCTTTCCAATGATATCCCTATTGCGTTTGCTTTTCAGCAAAAATATTTTACATGACATAATGATTGTTACCAAGATACCATTTTGAGAAAAAGGCCTTTAAAGTTAGCTGACAATATTTAAGCGATAATTATTTCAAGAGGGGGCTCAAGGCTTAATATTTGGGGGCATAGCACCCCTTGGCACCCTCTTAGGACCACCGCTGGATTAGCCATGATTGGGAAATTTGTGTTGGTCATAATAAAACTTGTTAGCAGGCTGCCCCTCTCATAATGATCAACAGGTCAACAGATCAATATGTGCTCTTTGCTGCCCAGAACTGCCCAGGGACACAGAGTCCTTTCCTCTGTCTCCCCCTTTTAACATGGCATCTATCAATTTAGGCACTTTCATATCTTTAAAAAAAATAAAAAAACATCATTGGTAACTACACAGTCCAAAGTCACAGCAGCAGTACTTATTGATGTAAAAAAAAAATGAAATTAAGTACGATCAAGTAATTGACAAGTTTAGGCAGGACACACATTTAAAAAAAATCTGTTTGATGTAAATGCCTGTATGGATTTTATTTTAGATTTCATGAAACTGATTAATCTGAATACGACACACATGGCCAGAGATAATTCATTCATACCCAAAGTGTGTTGAGTAGGTAAAGTATGTCATTAAATGTAACATATTTCAACCACAGTGTTTTCTCTTCTTCAGTGGACTTCAGACCTCATGCCAGTATGGACACAGTTCATCACATGCTTCTGTTTGGCTGCCTGACTCCCGTGTCCACCAGCAGTTACTGGTAATGTCACATTTCACACTGGTGCATTATCATGGATAATCGCAGCGCTGCCCACAGAACCTCCTGTAGCAGCACCTGTTAGGGATTGCATCGTTCTTTTATTGTATTAGTGGTGTGAAACGCTCCAGCAAAAAATATTACACACCATTTCATAGCTGGTTCAAATAGCTTCCAGTATGACATGTGGATGTTTGATTATAACCTTTAGTTTGTCAAAACTCACTAGTGTTACCAGAATCAATTCACTGCTATGTCATTTTTTTGACAAATTTAAAACACTTGACAAAGAGCCTGTTCCTCCTTTATGTCTGCTGACATGGTGGACATGCTGCTCACATCTTTTGATGCCAGGTGTACGATTTCAAAGCCCACAAATACCCAACCTATTTGCTATAAAGGTGTTACTCTCGGTGCACTAATGATCACCACCTCAGCTCTACGAAGCTTTGTATTTTCTCTCCTGGTATGATGTAACTAGGTGGACTCTGACACAGAGGCATGTTAGGTTAAGAAGAGGTAGTGTTGGGCTGTGCAGCAGACAGAACATGATGACTGGCTCAGGGGTCAGCAGGCAGGTGGGCCACTGTATCCGAGTGTGAGAGATAAGGGGTGTATTCACTCCATCTGGAGAGCAGTTTGGTGGCAGGTGAGAGGAGATGAGACAAATTATGCAGGCCTATCTTACACTATTTACAGAAAATGAAACTAGATCCTACACATTTCACCTAAAGATCTACATCTGGTTTCAATTCGAGAAAAATATCTCAATCATTGACTTTTAAAGAAATCAAAAACGTTTAGATTGAATTCAATAAATAAACTTACACAGACATACGGTTACAGATGTAGCACTCCAGATAGGACTCCAATGGGTGTGTCCCAGCCGAAAGCCCAGCGGATCCCAGTGCTGGGGGTGTTGCCAAAATTGCTAGAGGGCGTTGCCAAATTTCCCCATTTGTTCAATTACAGGATTTAACCATGAGATGGCGCTTCATTCACAAATACACAAAGACAACTTGGTGTTGTAGACCTTGGTCTGTTTGCAATGTTGCAGCTCTGCAGTTGTGTTGCTGAATACTGTAGCATTTAATCACTTATTTGTTATGGTTTTCACAGGCTGCTATAACGAAAAAACATCAATATTTTAGATCAAATAAAGTATATCTAATCTTATTATCTTAATTGTAATTCAATAATATATAGTCTTTATATATTAAATAATCATAATAATGTAAATGTTTACACTTTATTTTTTATGCTCATACTTTTACCTTTACAATAGTTTGCTTTATGCAGTATATTTTTTGTAATATTGTTGTGGTGTTTTTACACAGTACAGTAGATCGAAGTAAATCAATTTATACATTAAGATAATATAAGATAAGATGGACCTTTATTAATCCCCGTGGAGAAATTCAGTAGTTCAAACAGCAACAGGGTGAGAGTGAAAAACAGGACAGCACAGATTCACACAGATTAATAAAATCAAAAATAAGATCAGCGATAAAAATAAAAATAATAATAATTAGAAACTATGAAATAAGAAATGAATCAAATTAAAATGTAATTATCATATATTATATAGTGTATCGTATTATGAAGTAATATCATACATTAACTCCATTATAGCAGATGCCACATTGAATGGATGAACACATTTATGCATCAATAATTACAACAGAGTATTTCTAAATACAAGTTGTAAAAATACTTATATGTATTTAATACTAATAACATAATGATTAATTTCAGATGATAATACTTTTCAGGGTTAGGGTTAGGTCCGGTCTGACAGCGCTTAGCTCTCTGCTGCAGAGAGGAAGAGAATTCACTGCTCTAAACAAAGTCAAAAATCAACATACAGTATAGTCAACATACAGTAGGGGGGTGGGGGATTGTGAACGGTATGGTAAACGTTTGTAAACACAATCCCCAGGATGTGTCCTAATCACAAACCTACAGACTGGGGGTTGGGAGATCACAGGAGGGGGGGGGGGGGGGGGGGGGGGAGAGCTGTGGAATGTGACCATCCCCCTTGGGAGGCTTCCTCCACACATTCCGATGGCCAATTAATTTTAAACAAAGAGTTATCAACATACAGTATAGTCAACAATCCCCAGGATGTGTCCTAATCAAACCAAAAGAGAACATGCAGATATTACACTCATAAAAGAAATGGTAGACATATCAGTACTCTTAGTGTTATTATCCAAAGTTAATGTAAACTTTTGAATAATGTACTTATTATTATAGTGATGAACATTAAAAACAAAGCACGTTGGCTGATTTTGGACTCCCTCACTATTTGTTTTCACTACTTTAATTAAATGTTTGATAAGTGCATGCAGATCACAGTACAGTATGCTCGTTCAGTAAAACAAGTACACAGATACACAGATTTTGTATTCCAAAAATCAGGAAGTTAAGTCCCCTGGTTTGTGACAAGATGTGAAGTCAACAGATAGTCACTCAGAGGGGGGTACTATTTATTTTCAAATGCATATAGGCTATGCCACCCATTTACATATAGGCTGCACTGCTCTTCCAGTCAAGAATTTGAATTTAAATGGGATGGGGAGACGTGTGTGATTAAAAATGAGTGGCCAAACTAAGGCCCCGCTCTCACGGGACCGTTTGCGTTTATGCACAGTATGCGTATTCAAAAAGGTCTTCCGTTCACATGCATTCGTTTCATTTAACGTGTCTGTTCAAACGAGGCCGCTGGAAACGCTGTAGTACATATGCCGGGACTGTAAGTGGCGCTGTAACTTCCGCCAAAATACACCAAAAGCCGCGAAGAAGAGCAGCCCGAGCAGCCCCGCCGCAATGTTGCCATGGCTACCCTTCTGTTTAAGCCCCGCGGTGTATTTAGCAACATGTAGTTCATGTAATTCTCCATGTCCACTTGTTGCTGATGGTTGTGGTAGAGGAGCTGTAGATTTTGCACTAATATCTGTAACATGGTCAGTAGCAGTAGCATTAGCAGTAGCTACTGACAGGAGGAAGTGTGTGGCGATTGCTGGTATTCAGCATATGGATAAATGCAACGGGGAAGTTAACTGAAAGAAACCGAATCTGTGGATATTGCATCGACCGACAAAGAAGCACGTCTCCGTGGAGAGGACGGCTCAGAAAGAGAGATATTCTCTACAAACACCGGGTGAGATCGCACCTTTGTCAATATAATGGATCAATGCATGAAATCTGACTCTGTTTATTTTGTTTAAGGAGTACATTGGGCGTTAACAATTCTGGTTTGCCTTTTATAATATTATTTCATTCAAGAACCCCTTGTGCGTTTAATTAACACAGCTATTTTTGATAGTTGCTACAACAGTGAGCAGGAGAGGTGGGGAGAGGTGGGGCTATCGCTATTTTTTCAGGAAATATTCGTATAGAGGTGATTACACGGACTCGGTTGACCCCCCAGAGCGTTTCGTTTGCAAATCTATCCACCTTGGGACCCGTTATCGTTTGTGGGGTCAGTTTCTATCGGCCTCGTGTAAATAATAGGGCTATACGCACGCGAAACTATGCAGATACAAGCAGTTTTCTCCTCGTGTAAACGGCGCCTAAGACTTAGGCCTAGGTTCCACGGGAACGAAAACGGGTTGTATCCGCATATTTCTCTTGCGTATAGCCCTTTTTGCTACACGACGCCGTAACGGAACGGTAGAAACGGACCCTGCAAACGACAACGGGTCCAAAGGTGGATAGATCTGGGAACGGAGCGCTCTGGGGGGTCCAACGGGCCCGTGTGGTAGCCTATACGGTCATCCTTTTCTGATAATGATGCCGCAATAGCACCGCCTCTCCCCACCTCTGCTGCTCACCCCCGCAAAAGTACACTGCACACTGAATTCAGATTATTTATCTTTATCTCGATATGGACATAAACGCGAGTGAAGTCTAATCTGACAGGACGGAGACACGCAGCTCCTCCCGCTGTGATGCAGCGAGAGGAGCAAAACACACACTTCAAGTCAGATCATCACCCTTAGCTATTTTAATTACCTCTCAAACTAAACTAGTTATAAATATGTTTATTTTTACTGTCGAGTCATCATTACTGGATCAGCTGCTGCATGAGACAGACACTGACGCTGTGAGAAGAGAGGAAAAAGAGACAGGCTCCGTGTATTTTATTATTATATATCATTATATCGTCGTTATTCATTTGTTTTAAAGCTCAATAAATAACAAAGAAGACCTTTGACCGGCACTTTTATAATTTTGTCCGGAAGATTTAAACTTTAACACACGTTGACCGGCGAAAAACTCTGCCCAGTTCCCTCGGCCCCCACCGCGGAGAATAAACAGAAGTGCAACCATGACAACCATTCTTCTTCGCTGCTTTTGTGGAGGAAGTGGCTGCTTTTGTGGAGGAAGTTACAGCGCCACGTACAGGCTCGGCATATGTACTGCAGCTTTTCCAGCGGTTGGATCTAAACGGAGCTGTCTCGTGGAGCTTGACACAATCCGGTGTATATTGCGTGTGGACGGAAGCTTTTTGGCGATTGCGTTTGCGTTAATCCTATGCGTTTTGCCGTATGCGTTCCCGTGGAGCCTGGGCCTTAGTTTTTCAAAAGAGAAAATGCAGATATTACACTCATAAAAGAAAAGGTAGACATATCAGTACTCTTAGTGCCAAGCTAAATGCGCAATACCATGTTCAGCTATGTTACTATTTATAATGTTATTGTTGTTACAACAGAAGATGTTTTTCTTTATATTGAAGTTAAATGCATCAATCTGGTGCACTTTGAGGGCAAAATTAAGAGATTTATGGATACAGCTCTCAACACTCATATGAAACAGGACTGTTCTTACAATGTGTGTTGGAAGGATTTATTAAATTACTATGCATATTTTATTTAAACTTGTTTAAAACGTATCTAAATAAATATGTGTGTCCCGGGCCAAGGAGCGTATTGAGCAGGAAAAAAGAAGAGATGGAATGATGAGCAACTGCGCTGTCATATGTGTGGGCTGGACCTGTATAGTTTAATTTACAGGAAAGGTTAACTCACGTGGATTAAACTACATGTATTAGTGCATTCATTTCAATTCGGCGAACATATGATACATTAAATGATCGTGAGGATGATGATTACAAATCGTTTGTATGAGCCGGTCTGCATTTCCTGACAAAAAAACATAGCGATGGTTTTGTACTTACACCAACGTGGATTAAATTATTTTGTTAAATAAAAACATGGTGATGTTTTGTAAATGATTACATGTCTCTTATTTAGCACAGAATATGATCCTATCCGTGACATATGGATCTTAACAAATATCCGCTATATCAGATACCTCTACTGTAGATCGATCAGCTGTTTATTTTTTATTTCACATGAGTTCCACTGTGGCAGCACCCCTGGTGGATCCATGATCCATTGCAGCTGGTTTCATTATAATTAAATGTATTTATCAAGGGGGCGTATCAAGTCCTGCGGGGGGTTTTCCTTTTCAGCAGGGGCCCACCCCGTGCAGATCACGGACCCGCACGGGTAGGCGTCTGAAATGAAGTGCTACATCTGTAATGTTAGTGCCAAAGTAAACACGCATATGGGTTTTAGCACTTTGGTTGAGTTACATATTCTTGCACTACTGTTAGTTATCAGTAGATAACAGTAAATGTGGCCTTAGTCTCTTCCACACAGATTCTTTTTATAGAATAAAATCATGCAGAGTTTTTTTTGGGAGAGAGTTACTTAAGAAGGGGAGCTCTGTGGCCTTGTATCTGACCACGACCAAGGCTACATACATGTTTTCTACTTGATTCAATTTGAATGTATATTTACACAAAGCCTTAAGGAGAAGAAGACTTGCAAGACTGCAACTGACATAACCCTTAGATCAGGCTTAGAACAACATGTAAAAACTGGGTGAGCATAAGACCAGGCGTAGGGGGTGCAACAGACCCCCAGTACTCCAAATCAAAGGTTAGGCAGACACAAAATAGACTTTGGAAGAAGAGAATTTTGACTTTTACAATGATATGTCAACTAGCCACTCGCCCTTATTGGCAATGAAGTTTGGCGACCACTCTGTCATCAGGCAGGCAGACATTTACTCTTTCCAGCAGCAGCAGCAGGCAGTAAACAATACATACACATACAATAAACTCTGATAAACCCAATGTACATTACCTGCTCAGCATCCAACAGCAGCAGACACATAAAGATACTACTGGCAAACAAAGTGGATCATTTAGACCTAAACAGAGCTAAAGGAGGATTGAATACTAGACGTAAATTACTCCACAACCCCTAAGTAAATTTCTATATACATTTTACTCATTTATTTATATTGCCCCCTTTTTGTTTTTAGCAACTCTACAAACTTAGTATGGCACAGTAACATACATCTAAAGCAAGTAACTGATACACCCCGCCGGCTGGTAAAGATTTCTATGAAGGCAGCTCTGGTGTGTCCTCGCTCGTTGCTCCTCAAATATCTTTCCTTTCTTTAATCTGCACAGAGCAGAATAGCTTTGAGACGGTCTTCAAGATGGCGCAGGAGAGTGGCTTTCACTGGGTGCACAGATCCTGTGGGACATTTCTGCTCTGATTGTGTGCTAGTCCTTTAAAAAGGAAGTGACTGCCTCTTTGAATGCCCTCGTATTCTATCTGTGTCTTTAATGAGGTGTTGACTGAGCTGTTTCTCTCTGAAGGGACTGTGGAAGTGTACAAGGCACCTGTGAGGATGAGGCATCCATTATGTACGCCTGGGCGCGGAATGCACCACCTACTAAATTACCCAAAGGTATGTTTGTTCAAGTATACAACTGAAAGTCATATTTATAGCAGATATACTGTGTTTTTTCACTACTATGGCGGACTGGTATTCTCTGGGTAGATAAAATGGGCGTAATCCCACAGCTAACAGTTTAATGTCCGGGCTACAGAAACGCTCCTTCACAGTAACATGTCCAGGATTACACCATCGTTTGTTCACATACAGTGCAATCCCTCCTCCTTTCTTCTTACCGCTCAGAATAACGTCCCTGTCCGCCCGAACGCTCGTGAAGCCGGGGAGAGCTGTGTTGTTATCCGGGATTAGCGGGTGCAACCATGTCTCCTTAAAACACATGATGCTGCACTCACCGTATTCCCACTGCTTCTTCGTCAGCACGCCCAGCTTATTCCCCAAAGCCCTCACATTCCCCATTATAATAGCCGGTACGGAAGGTTTGTATCTCCTCTTCTTCTTCGTCTTCCGCTTGGTTCCAGCCCTGCAGCCCCGCTTTAGCCTCCGAAGCTCCTCCGGGATGTCATGCCTGGCTCCGGGCAGCAGCACGGGTCTACACAGCGTAATCAGCTGCTCACAGGAGTAAACAATGCCGTCACTCCTCTGAGCATGGCTCTCCGTCACAAAAAGTGAAAAAAGTAACAGAAGAATGACCTGGAACAAAACGTGGCCATAGTTAGTTACAAAACAAAAATAAATATCCAAAGAAAAAAGTACAACTAAGAGAATAAAAGTAGTAAATAGACAAAAAATCAATAAGACACAGGGAGCTGCTGCAACAGGCAGCCACTTAACACGGCGCCAACTGCTTGTTTGAATCAGAGAGGCCAAACATTTTCGGCAGTAAAAGTAATTTTAACATAAGGAGAATAACAATGACGCTGAAATACTTCAGTAAACAAAACAAAAAAGACCCGTCAAGGAAACTCAAATACACAATGTTTGTTTACATTTTTTTGCAGTCACGAAAGCTCTAAGCCAATCAGACATGGACAAAAAAAGGATCAGTCTATGTGTCGAGGGGGCACTAGAGACAACCCTCTGCCTTTACAGCCATGATCCGGTCTGACGGCGCTCAGCTGTCTGCTGCAGAGAGGAAGATACAGATCACTGCTCTAAACAAAGTCAAAAAGAAGCAACAGGAACTGCGACAGCATAAGGCGCTTTCACACCGGAGTACTTTTCCCAGGAATAGTTCCAATTGTTCTTGGGATTTGTGGCTAGTGGAGCCTCGCTGATGGGGGTGCTGCAGCCCCCTCAGCACCCCCCCCCTTCCCGCCTCCATTCGCGCTGTCTCGCAGATCCCACGCAGCAAGCAGGAATGGAACCCAGCTCACACTGTCCGCTCCTCGCAGCAGCGAGCCCCGCAGCGTCCCGCCAACACGGCACCCAGACCCCACGCAGCATTCTCATCTGCTTGTCATTACTGGTCTCATTTTCTGGTTGCTAACGCCATTGTAACACATAATCACTGATGTTCAGCTGTAACGGTGGTGGACTCATCAGAACAGAGTGGGCGAGCTGACCAATCAGAGCACAGTGGGCTCACAGGGAGGAGGGGGGCAGGAGCTCCAACAAGCCATTTAGGACAGAGTGAATACACATACTATACAGAGATGCTGTATGAGAAACCAATCTGAGTTTGGAAAATTGCACAATATAAATATATTCTAGTATACCTCAACAATGGAATTATGATCAGTAGAAATGGCCATGACATGGGACCTTTAAAACATAAAGATAAAAAGGTTTTAAAAAGTGATTTTTATTATGTTTTAAGAAGGTGACGCTACTCAGCCAATCAAATCGGTGCAGTCAGTGAGTCAGCACGATAGATTCAAACACACACAGACGAGACAAGAAGAGAGAAACAGCAGTGAGTAATTTCAAATGGCGTGCTCAAACAAGAGAAAGGTAGACAGCGAAAACAGAGCATTTAATGAAATGTTCTCTTACTGGACCTCTTTGAAATGCAATTGAATACCCCTGCATTATAGCAACAACAACAATAATAATAATAATAATAATAATAATAGCAATAATAATTGGGAGGGGGGGCGCGGCTGTTCTTATGTTCTCTGAGGGGAGGCTCACCTTCCCACACTTTGAAAACCCCTGCATTAAATGATCGTGAGGATGATGATTAAATTATGATTACAAATCGGTAGTGTGAGCCGGGGTGCATTTCCTCCTGTCGGATGTGATACAAAAACAAACCGATTATTTTTGTAGTTAGTCACGTGGATTAAACCACATTTATTTAGTTAAATAAAAATGAAATACAATGTTTTTTAAATGATTACATTTATCTTATTCAATGCAGAATATGAATCTATCCGTGATAGTGGGAATAAAAAACGATATGCTAAAGTGATCAGAGATAAATCCCACTTGTTGTACCTGGCAGAGCAAGAAACATTCCATTATTTAAACTTTTTTAAAGCATATCTAAATAAATATGTGTGTCCCGGGCCTTAAATGTAATTATGCCTTCAGTTTTCAGATCAAGCCACAACAGTTACTTCTGTATTCTACAGTATAGTTCTTTTCACCTCCCGTATTGCTTTCAACCCACCAGCTTTTATGGAGAAAATAAGTTATATAATTATTAACCAGAGGCATGTTTTCTCACTATTTTATGCATAGAAACAACAGGCTGCTTTACGTGTGTTAGAAGGACAGGGTTCCCGCGGGGTCTTAAAAAGACTTAAAAAGTCTTACATTTGATAATCAGAATTTAAGGCCTTAAAAAGTCTTAAATATGATAAAAAAAAAAAATAAGAAAGGTCTTACATATGATTTAGAAGGTCTTAAAAATGATCGGATTTGAAAGGTACTTGTGTGTTGCGATCACGTCTAAATGTGTTTTGGGGGAAATGTCGGGGCAGCAAAGTAACCAGTACGGTAATAGCCTTTCAGTTCCCCCCAACAATTTGTATTGAAATAAATCAACATGGAACCAGTGATCACTAACTTTGTTTCCCCCGGCCCCTTATCGGAGAACCCCCAGATAGTAACCTATCAACCAAGCTTCAGCTAGCGGCAGTCGAATCTACTTACAAATAAATATGGGGAAGTGTAAGTTCAACCGTATTTGGTGCTTGGTTGAAACGTGTTTAAAGCCTGCTGCTCCTTTTGCAAAAGAATGTAGCGTTTTCTTTGCAAATGTAGCGTTAGCTAGTGCAGCAGCTCCCGCAAAAACATCGGGGGACCTCCGGGCGACGTTTGGGTTTGACATTTTTTACTTTGCAAGTAATTATTGGACGTATTTCTTCTTTCATAGCAATGTTCCTTCTTTTAAATTCTTGCCGTGAAATAGGTCTTAAATTCTATTCAAAGTGGTCTTAAAAAGGTCTTAAAAAGTCTTCCATTTGAGTTGGTGAAACCTGCAGGAACCCTGGAAGGAGCACCCTCTGAGGAATCAGCTGTTTATTTAACCTGTTAAGCCCGAGAGACCCCGGTACCGGGGCACTCCCGCAACATCTTGCAGGAAACAGTGTCTGAGGGCATGTTCATTTAATAAACTATGAATGTTTTATATCCATGTAACGGGAAAAAAGTCATCTAACTGATCTTTTTTTTTTTTTTTTTCAAAATAAAACCCACAATGCTAATGCTGAGCCTCTGAATTAGCAACGAGCGAAAAATGCTAACAGATTACTGCACCGAAATTCACTCACAAAACCTTATTATTTATCTTTTCTGCACATCCAACACATCGTGAGGTGACACAGAATCGATGGGTACATACATTATCACTCAATGATACGAACTCGCGACTTTATAAACAAAAACAGACATCAAAACATGTGGCGCTAGGTAGCTAAAAACGCTAACATGGTTTACCTGTGTCGTAGTCTGGTCAAAAGTGGTCTTCAATGGCATTAAAACGATAAAAATGCTGCTGAAGTTAATCCATAGGTTAATCCAATGTGTCTGTGTCCCTTTGAAATGATTTCTGATAATCCATGAGCAATAAACCTGCTTTTTCCATTTCCAGATGTCAGAGCTAGAGTATAGGTTCGCTCTGATGCAAAACTGCATGCGCGAAGCCCCCACCTTTTTTTTGTACCATGTTAGTGAGTGGGGAGATTCCCCTTCGATTCCATTGGCTCTAACGGTCAGAAAGAGATGTCAATCACCAAAATCGACCAATGGGTTCCTGAGAAACGTTAAAACCCCCATTTCCACCCAAATCACCTCAGAGGTGGAGTTTTTTTTGCTAAACCTCTCTAAAAAGGTCAAATGTCACTTGTTTTGCATCAATCTTGATACAGGGTACTTATTATATGTTGTACTTTGGATTCCTAAAGTCTACCTTACCATCATCCAAGGGTAGTTTTCACTATAAGTAAAAAAGAACTTTTGGACGGACACTATAATTTACAGTTTTTTACTATGTTCAATCTGAATTTTCTTTAAAATAAAAAAACATCTATATTGTTCTGACTTTTCTACATCCAACTCACAGGTTTATCATTACTTTGAGAAAAAAGATTATTAATTTAACCCTTTTAGAAGGGAATATATGGTCATTTGTTCTGGGAATGTCATTTTCGAGCCTGAGACCTGAAAAACAGGCTCAGAGCTAAACAGGTTAATGAGTTCCATTGTGGCAGCGTCCATCACTGCTCCCCCTGGTGGATCCATGATCCATTGCAGCTGGTGGCCATTATCATTTATCAAGGGGGTGTAACAAGTCTGAGCCGTGTCCACTACGTCACACTTGGGGTTTTCCTTTCAGCGAGGGTCGGCAAAATGAGGTGCTACATCTGTAAACTGGCAATAGAAAGAGACAGAGCTGCATCTATGTGAGAGAGATAACAACAACTTTCCAAGGCTACATGCCTGAGCCATGAGAAACCAGAAACAGAGAGTAAAGAATTATGATCTAGGTCGAAGGCTAACAACTAAGCAAACATATTCCTCAACACAGAGTATCAGATCAGCTCCAGCTGTGTGTTGGATGGAGATTTGGCGAATTTGGAGTCAACACCTTGAACTTGTTGTGTTCCTCAACCATTCCTGATCCATTTCTGCAGTTTGGCAGGATGCATTATCCTGCTGAAAGAGGCCACTGCCATTAGTGAATACCGTCTCCATGAAGGGGTCAGCATGGGCACCCTGACCGGTCCGCAGCAACGCAGCCCCATATACAACAAACTGCACTGTGTGTTCTGACACCTTTCATTCATTCAGCATTAACTGTTTCAGCCATTTGAGCTACAGCAGCTCTTCTGTTGGATCGGACCACACGGGCCAGCCTTCACTCCCCATTGAGCCATGACCCCGTCGCCGGTTCACCGGTTTTCCTTTCTTGGACCACTTTTGGTAGGTACTGACCACTGCAGACTGGGAACACCCCACAAAAGCTGCAGTATTGGAGATGATCTGACCCAGTCATTTCGTCATCACAATTTGGCCCTTATCAAAGTTCCTCACATCCTTATGCTCCACCATTTTTCCTGCTTCCAACACATCAGCTTTGAAGACGAAGTGTTCACTTGCTGCCTAACATATCCCACCCACTGACAGGTGCCATTGTAACGGGATAACAATGGTCTTCACTTCACCTGTCAGAGGTCATAATGTTATGGCTGATCGGTGTATGACAACTTAGCCTTTGACATAGCCATTATAACTTTTAAGAATAAGTCTCTCTTCCTTTCCTGTTACTGGGTTGCAGTTAGGCGTGGCTAAGCAATAGCATTAATAACATAATAAACAAAAAAGGTTTTATGACATGATTAAGATCAAGATGATACATTATTTTTTTCTTGCCAGCATTTCTTGTAAATCTTGAATATATCTCTTGTCCTTAGTAATTTTGTGTCTTTCTCTAAGCTCTGTTCTGCTTTCTGTTGTCCCCTCAGATGTTGGTTTCAAAGTTGGAAGAAGTTCAGGAATATCCCACTTTGTGCTGCAGATCCATTATGGAGATGTCAGTGCTTTCAGGGGTGAGTCCTAGTTCACACATTGTTGCATAGAGATTGTTGTTCATGTTATCAGGTACCGTACATCTGATCGAGTAAAGGTCCGGAAAGATTAATGAGTGCTAAAGTCATTAAGGGTCACTGCGTAGTGAATGATAAGCCAATGACGAGTTAAAATGTTGAAATGTAGTTGGATCCTTTTCCCCTAAGACTAAGAGGAAATGTTTTATTTCCTAACTTCTAATATATTTAAAAACATTTTTATTTTCACTCACATCTCACATCATCAGTGTTGTGCAGTAGCGTCGTTAGTAGTTGAAATACATTTGTCTATTATGTGGCGGTGGTGTAGCTTTTTTCTGAATAAAAAGCTTTTCAGTAGCTTAGCTCTTTTACTGATCAAAAACTTAATCCACTAAAGCTACATTATCCCAAGCATATTAAGTGCAGCAAAGCTTTCGGCTGTGCTCCAAAATAAAAGGGCTAAGGAGCAGTAAGTGCTTATGAAGAGGAACAATTGTATTTCAAGGTTTTAAAGATGAATTCTTTTGATTCTGCAGACCATCATAGAGATTGCTCAGGACTAACCTTACAGATGACATCCAAACCGTGAGTAATATTAATCAAAAACATGAACTGTTCTGCTGAATACTGGTAGCAAAAGCAATGGCGTGGGTAAACATTTTGAGGAAGTCCGGTAGCTTAATGTTACCTAAGCATGCATAAAAAAGTAATAAAAATAAAAAAATAAATTATAATAAAAAAGTTACACATTTTACAAAATACACATCCTGTGTTTCCACTTGGAACGCAAATTTGACCCCCTGAACATATGTGAAAACTTACCAAACTTTGCACGCTTCTTCGTAGGGGCGTAACAGTATCCGTATTCATCCCGAACCGTCACGGTTCGGACGTCACGGTTCGGACGTCACGGTTCGGCACATGCAGTCACACGCAGTCACACGACGAATACGCCTTTTTTTATGAAGGGAAAAAAGTCTGTCACTCAGGGCAGTATCCATTACACTATATATAATCCAGGGGGTGGTATTGCGCCTAAAAGCTGTTTGCCTGCCGCCCTTAAACAACAAATGAAGAACAAGAAGAAAACACAACAAAACAAACAAAATACAAGAAGAAAAGAAGTTAGTATGGCGATTTCAGATAACACACAGGAGCTAGAAGACCCACCTGCTTCTTTTAAATCAGCTGTGTGGGAACATTTCGGGTTCCCTCTGGACTACAATAACGATGGAGTGCGAGTGGTGGATCGGACGTGGACGGTGTGCGGGCATTGTTCGACAGAGGTGCGGTATGCTAATAGTAACACACGCCAAACATGCTAAATCATATCAGAAGGCATCAGCCAGATTTGCCAATCACCGGAGCCCGGCGAAAGACAACAGCAGTTCAACAGCTTATCCCCGTTTTTTTTAAGAAACCAATAGACATGAAAGCCGAGAGACCAAAATAAATAATGGAAGCTATTGGCATATATATTTCAACGGCTATGCGCCCTTGAAACACTGTCTTATTAGAATAGAAGAATATAATTGGGAGGGATGAAACCCTCTTTAATGGTCACACATGCAGAGCACACAGCACACACAGTGAAATGTGTTCTCTGCTTTTAACCCATCCTAGTACCAGGAGTCTAGTACTAGGAGCCACTGCTCCTAGTACAGCTATTATACAGCGCCCAGGGATTATTATTTATTTTGTAATATTTTCAAGACATTATTTTTAGTTTTACAGCTTGATGACACCTTTTTGTTTGACATCAGCCATTATATATAATATGGCCATTTGAGTGTGTGTGGTACTGTGTGTGGTTTGTTTTTAACTGTGTAATACAGTTAATTATTCAAAATGTTAGAGTTCCTTATTTTTATACTGAAACTTGCACTACTGTTCAAAAATAAATAACAACAAACCTGGAATTATGCATTTGGGACACGCAGTTTGTTATGTTACGCTCTGAAAACTGAAAACTAGGCTTATTGCCATAAATATGATGATGAATTATCAGTAATCATTTCAAAGGGACACGGAGACATTGGATTAACCTTCAGCAGCGTTTGTATGCGTTGTAATGCCATTGAACACAACTTTTGATCAGAAAACAGCAAAGGTAAGACGTATTTGCCGTTTTGGCTCCGTAAAGTGAAGTTGTGTGTTGTCTTTGCTGGCTTTCGCTGCCGCAAGTTTTGGTCGCACAGTGATGATACGTATACCATTGGAATCTATGGAATCTCAGCTTCCATATGATATCTTGTTTGTGCAGATCCGATGAAGTATCAAATATTTCTACCGTGAATTATGTGCTAAGTGCGTTAGCACCCTTTCGCTTAATGATAATTCAGAGGCTCGGCGTTAGACTTGTGTTTTTGTTTCGGTAAAAATTGTTCATATCGTCAGTTAGCTGAGTTTAAGTGGGTATGACACATTAGTTTGTTAAATGTTAAGAAGCCCTCAGACGCTGTTTCTAGCAAGATGTTGGGGCGGGGGCTCCCGGGCTGAACTGGTTAACGAACTCCTCCTAAGAATTTTATTCGATCGACTCCAAATTTGGCTGGTAGTGTCTCGAGACATGGGCGGAAAAAAGTTATCACGAAACTTAACTTTTCATCGCACGGCGTAGCTGTGATTTGGCGCCCCATTTCACGTTCGCTCGATGCTAGGTGATCCCTCGCCATGGAACACGATGATGTCATAACTCCAACTGACATGCTCAGAACACCGCCAAACATCAGTCTATCATTAACACTGCTGCCCTGAACAGCTCTACGTCAAATCTGAGGTTACATAATGTGGCGTTGACATGGCAACGCATCCCTCGCCATAAAACACGATGTCGCTGTAACTCCAATGGACACGGTCCGATCGTCCCCCAATCTTCACTTGTATATCACCTGTCCATGCCTCAACAGCTCTACGCCAATATCTCACTATATGCCGTTTCCATGGAAACGCATCCCTCGCCAATAAACACGATGTTGTCGTAACCCCTATGAAAATGGCCAAAACAGCACCAGACTTCAGATAATGGTTAATCGTCCGGCCCTGAACAGCTCTGTCAATTATGGGGTGTCATCATATGCCGTTGCCATGGGAACTGAATGCTCCCCATAAAACACGTAAAGGAAAATCGTCCAAACGGCACCAGACTTCAGACTATACTTAAAGAGCTTACGAAATGAAGGACAATACTGTTCTTATTACGATAATATATACTATTATTAATGGGAAATCATTTTTCATTAATGACAATATGCCCGCTGTATTTATAAATCGTAATTTATTACAACTTTCCATGCTCGCTTCCGATGTTACACGACCGCTCCGAACAAAACAGCTTTCGCCGCTTAGTGACGTCACGCACATCACGGTACGTCACGAGTAGAACACTTGTTGAATAATACACTACCTATATGGCTGATGTCGGACTCTGGAGACAGAATCGAGTGACAGTGAGTCGTCAATAGACTGGGTGCACTTTCAAGAAGAGGAGGATTTTATTGGAGAGGATGCCGGTGTGGTGGAATCAGATCATGCGGGCGAGTCTAACGTGGTGGAACCATACCAGTTTGAGCCACAGTATTCAAGTAGCGGTAGAGATACAGACGGGAGCGAACATGGGGATGATGATCCTGGATTTGGCGGAGATCCGGTGCGGCAACAGAACACAGACTGGTATACATTTGACTTTAATTCATAGAGATTCTCAATAAATAGTAAATCAATAATAATAACTCTGCTGAAAATAATATATTATCTAAAACCGGTGCATTTGATTTAAAAATAAAAGTAATAAATAGAGTTCAATATTGAAATGGTAACAAAAACCGTAACACTATGTATGATAAGAAAAAGGCAACAAAGAAAGTGTTTTTGGTTTTTCCTTGTTCATGTCCATAATGTTTCCTGTTTTGTAGCGTCCAGCCTTTCCCAATCTGGCCTGCATTTCTGTCTGTTGAAGCCACTTCTTGAAGCAAACTGAAAAGAAATGTACAGATATAAGTACACTGTAAAAAGAAAACTTGACATTTACTTTAACATTTGGGCTGCTGTGGTTGCCAGAACTTGACTGTTAAAGTATGGTAAAATACATTACAAATTACAGTTGGTTGGCATAGATGTTACAGTCAACAATTGCTTATGGTGAATGGCAAAAACAAATAGAGCTAGTGTACACGGTGCAGCTGTATTATCTGGGAAATAGAAGAATCGGATCAGGATTCGGTATTGGCAGACAATCAATATCAAATTAATCGGATCATTATAAGCATCAGCACTTGATCACTTTTGTCGACTTGCAGCCTAAATACAAAGATAACTCCACTCCTCTCCTAACACTGCTTACCTCTAATGAGCCTTGGTAGAACTAGTGTCCGAGTCATAGGGTCCAGAACTGACTGAAGACATGTGGAACAGAGGACAGGCATGGTTCCATGTACAGGGAACTGGAACTTTGAACAGGTGTTTTCATCTTTTCTGCCTGAAGATTCACAAGTTATTGATCAGGTGTTTGATGTGGGCTGGCATGATCCTTTCTGCAGCGATGAATAAAGAAAACAAAGAAAACATTTTTAATGATGGTAACAAAAATAATATTAGTATAACTATTTATATAGCACTTACACAATTGCAAAGTGATTCTCACAACAAAAATAAAGAACAAAACAATATCAACAATAAAAAAACAAATTATTATAGGAATGTTAAGAGACAAAGAAATGTTTTTTCAGTCATTACAATGCACTGTTGGAAATTACATTCCAAAGGCTAAATTCAAACTCAATACCATAAATAGCTGGGTACCAAAGTGCTTTACCTGATAGAAAACATTCCACAAGGAGCAGCAACCATCCAGCTGGGCCTTTTGCTGCATATCATCTCCTCCCTCTCTCTCTCTGGTGTTAGGTTCCAGTAGATCTTTACTATCCAATACAATTTTCCCCGAAAAATCATATTAAAAAAGTTAAAAACAATTACTTGCTTTTGGCATTGAAATGGACTAGAATCTCACCTTTTTCCTGGATGTCAGGAAGGCCAGGAAGTCGTTCCCTTCAAGTCCGCAACCAGTCATAGGAGTTCAAATGCAAAGCCTGAACGATGACAAGAGCGAGAGACTTACATTTTACAATTATATTTTGAATTCATACCAGAGCAGTGTGTACATAGGCCCTGTACGACATGCAAAGAACAGATCAAATCCCCTGACAGACTCACACACTTTGGTGATGTCCTCATCTGATAATGTTTCATTTTTTAGCAGCAAAGTAACATTACTCAAAGTATATGTCGGACCCAACTCATTTACAGTATGTTTTGCATCTCCTCAACAATGGTCTGTATAGTTGAGTAGAAAAAAACTGTCCCTACAATTTCAGGTAGATTAACACACATTTGTGAGAAAAGTTTACAATGAAGCACAAAACCCCTCTTTGTATTAAGCGAGCTGCCACATAAAGTACAGCTTAACATGCTAACCTTTGGTGAGCTACAGTAAAGCTAACTTCATGTTCAACACAAAACCTTTAACATGCATTACATTGACGATTTTAAACAAAACGTAACTCTCTCTACTTGTAAGATAACGTTTA